TCTTATTGTTAAATAAAAACAACTAATCTAAGTAAGAAAAAGAATCATAAAAAAGAAAAGAAAAAGATACTTTTTTTATAATAATAGTTAAATGCTATAATCCTAACATTATAAGAATAATATCAAAAATTGTTATATTAAGAAAAGGAAGAAAAAAAGTTATTTCACTTGATGCTTAAGAAATACTAGTTACTGATCATTATTATTAAATAGTATATAAAATTTTTCTTTAGTTACAATAAATAAAAATTTGAAAAAAGTATGAAAAAAAGTGTGTTCAAATTTTTCTGTAAAAAACTTAAAGCTGAAAAATGATTTAATTTAAATTTTTATACTTAATAAATGATTACAAATCAAATATTATTACAAGACTTATAATTACCTAATAAAGTTAATAATAGATCTTTAACTTCATTCATTCACTATTAACTCATGCCTATTCCTTATGTTTAATTTCCTAATTAGGTTGCCCTTTTAAAAATATATGTTATCAAGTTCATTTAATATTACTTATTATATTATAATTATCTACATCTAGATGTAAGAATTATGCCTTACTTTTCTTTTAATAAGTATGATTAAAGTTGCTTGCCTAAACTTATTTTGAATTAGCAAAATGTCTAAATTATAGTTTCACTAATTTTTACTAAAATTTTGATATAGTTTAACATTTTTTTAAGCTTTGATATAGTTTTACCTTTTTCAGAATTTTGTAGATTCTTTAATAAGGTTTTAATATAATTTTGCTAAATTTTACCTTTTTTCATTTAAACAACTTACAAAACCTTTAGATTTGTCTAGTAACCTTAAGTATAACATACAGAACTAACCCAATATTCAATTACTTTTTTCAGTTTGATTATTTAAATTTTTATCTATTTTATGATAAGTATAATTAGCAAAAGATAAATAATGATATATAATATAATTAATACTCATAAAATTTGCAAAAAATAATAAAATTTTGATGCAGTATTATATAAATATGAATAAGATTAGTTCAAAAATTTTTAATATAATTCTACTAATAAATAATGCTCAAAATAAAATAAATTAAAAAATACTAAATATTGCTTATTATTTATATTTAAATGTTTTAAATTTATAATGAATTAAAAATATTGTGAAATATAATTTTGACAATGAGCCTAAAAAAATAAAAAATAAAATATAAAAAATAATATATATATACTGTATATACAAGCTACTTAGATTAAAATAGTCTAAGTTCTATTAGTCCTTTAATTATATGATTTAATAAGCACAAATTGTGTGTATAAAAATTAATTTATAGAAAAGAGAAAATGAATCAAAAAAATATTTCTCTGTATTTTATATAAAAATCGACTTATAATAGTTTGTTTATCATATAAATAATAAATAAAATTTCTTTAAAATAAGTTTTAAATTTTTTTTTTAAGCTAATTTATTTCTCTAAAAATATAAATTGTATTAAATAAATATCAGTAAAGATAAGTGATATAATAAATTATAATATACTATATATAGAAAAACTAAGTCAATAAATTATTTATCAAATTATTTCTTTTTTTATTATTCCTATATTGTCTTTTTTTATTAACATTTCTTTACTATGAAATACTTTATTATATTAAACCAAACAATTCTCAGGAATATAGTAACAGTCAAATTAAAATTTCTCTAGTTTATTATACCAAAAATTGAAATTAAATATAAAAATAAAAATTACTTTACATTTTTTTTCTACTGGCTTCTGAGGTTTAATCTGTAGAAGTTAAAGATAAGTTTTTTGTAAGCAGTACTATGAGACAGGAGAAAAAAATATTTTTTTTCTTTTATACTGTCATCAAAAAAAATAAAATATTTGTATGCATATAATAACAGTTTTTTGTTTTCATATTTTCTTAATTAATATAGTTATTTTAATATATATTACACTTATTTCAAAAAAAATCAAAATTTTGTTTATAAGTAAAATATTTTTTTATTTATTAAATGAAAAGGAAAAAATAAAAGAGTAAATAAGAAAGTCAATGTTAACTTTTTTATTATTGTTAATTATGTTTGTTACATTTAATTATTTTATTAGTTTTTTCTTTATTATTATTATCTAAAGATTCTAATTATTATAATTATTATCATTTTATTATCTAAAAAAATTTTAATATATAATTATTTACGCAAAAAAATACATTTGCATATATACTAATTATCTGCTATTAATTTTATCATTTTTTGAAGAAAATCTTTATGAAATTGAAGAGAAAAAAAATCAAGCTTAGAATTTTAAGAAAATTAATAAAAAGTAACCTAAACAAAATATTATTTCTATTTATAGAACTCTTATAAAATGTCATTATTGATTTTGAATGTATTAGTTAAAAATACTATGAGTTTAGTAATGTAAGTATTGGAAAATATATAAAAGTATATTATCATCAAAGTTTAAAAGTTGCTATTTCTATAATATTAATAACCCTTAGGTTTCAAATTAAATGAAATAAACTTATAAATATCATTCTAATAACATATTGAATAACTTTCTTTTTTAACACTTATTATATGTAGAACATAGCTTAGTAAAATTTAGCAATATATTTTATTATAAAGAAATAAATAACCTATATACTATATAACCTTAAGACATTAGTTCTAATAATAATAAATTCAATATATTTTGCTTATGCTTGATATATATTAATAACCATTACAATGCAATAAAATAAATATGTTTATGTATCAGATTCAATATAAGTTATAGATAAACTATATTAAAAATATAGAAAAGGTATGATAAAATTATTTTGAGAAGGTTTTAGCAAGCATCTATAATATAAGTGAAAAATATAGTGAAGAACCTTTTAGTGATTTTATCATTAAGAAATTGCATAATAATTTCTGAATATGAATGAAATAACATGTGATGAGTTCATCACTTAAAGTTGTATAAATTATATTTGATCAGTAGCTAAACTAACATTAGAGATTCATTTTATAAAACACATACCATACATTATGCTATTTATTTAATATATTAATATCAAGTATATCCTATTGAATTTTAAAAATCAAAATATATAAAAATCATTTACTATATTTACTATAATCTTATATTATAAAATTCTAAAGAATGATATTTTAACTAGTTTATAGTTTTTTCTATATCCTATAGAAGTTTCTTTATCTGTAAAGAATCTAATATATCATGTATATATACAATCATCCTCTCTAAATGCACTTTTTTTAAATAAATATACCATATATTTTCTCTCTAAATGCATACTTTCATTAAATCCTAAACATATAGAATTCATATAGAAATTTTCTCTTAAATGTACACCCTCTTTAAATGCATATTTTTTAAAATTTTTACTATAGTCCTGAGGGGATGCATTTAGAGAAGATTAATTATAATATTTGTTTAAATGGTATATTATTATTAATACAATACTTTCTGTATTTAAAGTTTTTTATCATTTTTCTAATATATTCCTACCATTGTAAAGAACAAATGAAGTTGTAAACAAATTCATTATTGTTAATTAAAACAAAAATTACATATTTGTAAAATCACAAGAACTTATTGAAAAATCTACTAATAGAATTGATGCTTTATCAACCATCATTTTTGTTATTTAAAATGTTTAAAAACAGTATAATCTGTCATATTTCAAATTCATAAAATATGTTTGCATCAAATCACTTGATTATCAGAAGAAACTTTTAATATACATATATAAAAATAACAACTTTCTATAATCTCTCATTTATCCATATTTAATAATATGCCTGTTTTTTTCTGAACTTTTTTTATTTGTAATTGTTGATTTATCAATTTTTGTACTTTAACTATACTTTTACCTTATCTTTTTTATGTTATAATGGTATGCTACTAAAAGGGTTAAATTCTGAGTTAAGCATTGGTATACCTTCTATGACACAACTAAGATTTGATCTCTTTTTGAATTTGTATTAGCATGATTTAATGTTAGTTTATATTCGTTTTTTGAACTAAAAATATTAGACAGGAAATTAGATGAAAAAATATATAGCAGCGTCATCTTTGCGATGCAAGTTCGAAATACAATTATATCTGTAAGGTGTTAAAAAGAATATTACAATGTAACTCATAAGTAATTATTATAAACTGAGTTAACTTACAAATTGTTGAATACGCATATCACAATTTTGCTTAATTTTGATTTACTGCTGTTAAGCCTAAATACTATATCATTAGGATAATAAAGCTTATTTGCTAACAGGGAGTTTAAGTTGTAAACTATGAAAAAAATAAACACAAATTAATTAATTTGAAGAATTAAATCATCTTTATTGATAATTTATATTTTAAGAAAAAAGTTATTAGCAAAGTTATAAGTTTATATTATTAAAATTATATTTTATTTGATTGTAAAATAAAAACTTATCCTTTTGTCAAAGTGAAAATACAGAATATTTATATCAAATACAATTATTAGAAAGAGATATTTAATAAATAAATATAACTATGATAATAAATATAATAAATAAAATAGTGATAAATGATATAATAATTATAATAAATATAACAATGATAACTGTGATGACAATGAAATTGATGAAAATGATAATCACAGTTTTCATGATAATCATTGGTAACCTTAATTGGCACAGTCATTTAGTGATGCATATGGATTATCACTAATACCACCATTTATAAAGACATCATTACCAAAAAAATGGTTATGATATGCTTCGTGAAGATGTAGTAAAATTTCCTGTGAAAGAGGAGATTCTTGAATCTTGTATGGATTAATGACCATAATTGCCTCCCATTCTTCAACAGTAAACAAAGGATACCAGTATTAGCAAATAACCCTTAAAATGACCTAATCATGTGATGATTTTACTATGAAATCTATCACGTGATCATATACTATACAAAGTGATCTAGGTCACTTCAAAAAAAGGGAAATGACCTTGAAATTTGCCAACATTGAAGGATACAGACAGGGTTCTAAAAATAGCAGGAAGAATGATCATTGGCTTCTTAAATGAATTTTGAGCAAAGTTAAATTGTGATATGATAACGATAATACATCCATGATTCTCTCGGTTAGAAAATTTGTATCTCTGCTAAAGTTCAACAATAATCTTCTACCATGAAGTGAACTTAATCCAAAGCGTAAAACTTGTAAATTATAATTGGTACCTGAGATTAAGCTGGCTAAGGATCTCAAGTACTTCCATCTGGTATTCTCTAAATCTTTGTGATACGTTGATAGTACCAACTACCCACTAAAAAAGGATGCAATATGTGAGATACGGAAAATATTAAAAGCATAAGAACAATTGATCCATGGCATACCTCATTTGTCAATTCTTGAAACAATACCTTTTCAATATTGGTAAAATCAAAATTTATTCCTTCGTCTTCCTCAGGAGAACTCGGAAGACTTTTGCTTGAATAATTCATTTTTGTAGTACTCTTCACACGTTTTTTTGCCTAAATATAGAAAATGTACATGAATTTTTAAGTTCTCTTAACTCTACTACCTATAATTTTTATCTTCTTGTGTGTAGATGCATTTCCCTTGACTTCATTTTCTTGTTTATAACTTGTTCGTAATTTTACCCTTCATTTAATAGTCCCTGCGAATTTGCATAACTAGCAAGCTGTTCATAGAGAAAAAATTAGGTGGGTAAACATAATCCTAGATATTTCCCTGATTTTGATAGCTATAAATATTGAAAAACATACCTCGCCTTCTTTATTGTCCGTTTCGTTAGGAATTTCTTCATCTGTTTTCTGCCATTTAATAAGCCACATTGGTTGATATTTTCAGCGGAACTTTGAAAGAAATTGTCAATTTCGACATTAAAATCCTACAAAAATACAATGAAATATACATAAATTAATGAACTTACACTATCCTTATTGTGGATTGTGACATCATTAATTACCTTTCTCTTGTGTTTCAATTCGCTTTTCAGAATCTGACCTCGTCTTTCTCCAATAAGATCAGAATGGATTGTTGCTTCTTCAGATTTATTGATAACGTATTTGAGCTGATAAAAACATGTCAATATACATAAATGTAACAAACAATTAATATATAAGACAGAATAAAAACTCACATCCGCAATGGCCATTTGTAATTTGGTCTCCTTTGATAAAATTTCCAAGCTATTATCAAGATCAGAGATTTTTTGCTGATCCCAGAAATTCCGTACTACTTCTGAATTTTTGTCATTCTAAATTTAGGTAATGCAGTTAATTACCGTAAACAGTTGACTAAAGTATCCCCTATAGTATAATACCCTCCATAAATCTGGTCTAAAAAACCCGGGTATTATAATAAGAACTTCGAAAAAAAGTTGCGAAAATTTGTATAATACCCGGGAGTATTATACACCAATTGTTTTTTTATATAGCATTTA